ACTTGGGCACAGACTGACCGTCTCTGAAACCCAGAGGGGCTCTATGAGTTACAGTGGCTGGAGGCAGTGGGTTTGCTTTTAGGAGTGTTGTTTCATTTTAAGCAGAATTGAGGGGGCTACATTAAACATTTTTTGAGGGGTTACTTTTTGTTTAAGTTTTAAGTATTATATCAGGACCATGGTTTCAGCTAATCTCCTTGGCTCTAGAAAGTCTGGAGTTAATGAGAATTTGAGATTTTGTTCCTCATTCCCCTCCCCCCCTTTGATTGGGATTCTTCTGTAGGGTCTTTGATCAGAATGTATGAATGACCCGTGATGTTGGAGTGGGCAGTGAATGGGGACAGGGCTGTGTCCTACACCTGTCACCCGGACAGCCTTCCTCATTCGGCCTCTCTCATCCTCCCTCATATTCTTTGGGCTTCCCCGTGTGACGATGGGGACGTTAAGCTGTCCCTTCCCAAGAATGGGTCAACTGGGTAGGGAACAAACTTCGCGGATCTTGGTTCGACTGCAATGGTGCCTTGGTCGAATCCGTAGCGTGGTCGCCATCTGGGAGGGACGGCATTCTGTTGCAGTCTACCGTGTTACTTTTATATGGCCTGCCGGGCCTTTGCCGCACTGAGGACTTCCACGTCATCCTCCAGCCTACATACCACTCTGACAGGGTGAATATGCAGTAGGCAGTATTGGCACCAATTTACCGATGAAAGAACAGAGACCCAGAGATTATGGGAGAGCAGAACCAGGCTGCCGCCATGACACCCAGCCGGGGGAAAGGGCCGGCAAGCACATCACATCTTTTCCTTCACGGCAGGCTTCTTGACCCGACATTCTGGCCCTGCAGGGAATGCTGGGTCAGATCATATAGTCTGAGCACCAGAAATGGAGGTGGGTGAGGGTCGCCATGAACAGGGTTCATGTCCTCCCATGTGACTTTGGGCTACATCTCTGACCCATGAGTCCAGCGAGCTCAAGGGCATGCTGAGCAAACAGTACCCCAGGGAGTCAGGGGTGGGGTATGACGTCCGGTCACCTTCACGGCTGACAAGAGCTGTTTCTCCCCTACCCCAGAGGGAAGAGAGGCCGCATTCACTCCTAAAACGCCTGCCCCACAGCCTCATAAGTACATCCTAATATTCATGCGGGGAGTACTTCCTATGGATTGAGTACATCCGCTCACTCAACTCCTCACCAGTTACTTTATCTTCTTTACCAGTTTGAACAATGTTGCAAGATGTTCCGAGAAATGAGAGTGCAGGATTCGAATGCAGAGCTAGATTGCGAACCACTACTGGCCTCCCTTGATGTTTGTTATTTCATGATGTCCACGACACTCGGCAATGAGACTGCCAGTTGCTTTCGTGGAACCTACCCCATCCAGGAGAAGGATGGGCTTTCAACTCCTGTCAAGAGTTACGGTCTGGGAAACCCACAGGGACAGTTCTACCCTGTCCTACAGGGTCACTCGGAGTCAGTAAGAACACGAGCGAGTGAGGGTTCCCCATAACCAGGCCCCAGTGCTCCCTGCTCTTTTTCTTTTCCTGCCAGTGCCCTGCCCTCTTCTTGGCCTTCCCTGTCTAGCTATGGGTCTAGCTTCAGCTCTCCCCTTTGCACCAGCACTGTGCTCGCTCAGCGAGTGGGTGGGGGCCTTGTCATGGGCCCCCCTCCCAAAGTTGCTTGGTTTGGTAAACACAGGCTGTTTCTTTGAGCACTCATGTTTGTGGAGGACACTCTTTATGCTCTAGCTGTCCATCCCCTAGAACCCAGATTCTCTAGTGAACTCATGGCATAGAATTTGGGTACCAAAGTCATTTCATTGGAATAGAGCCCCGCCTGGCCCAGGAGGAAGGATTCCAGGTTCTCTCTCTGACTGCTCTTCGGCTTTCTCTGCTTCCTGGTCTCACTCTGCATCCTCGGAGAATGCAGGGAATCCTCAAGGGGACACATGGACAAGCAAAGAGATGAGGTGCAAAGAGATCCTTACCCTCCAGAGGAAGACGAAACGGTCCGGTGAAACGGAACAAAACGGTACGTGTAAAGCAAATGCCTGGCCCACGGTGGGCACTCGGGCCCATGGGAGGCTTCGGGGAGATGCCTGTGTTTGAACCAGAGGCGCTTGCAGAGTCTCACGTGGTGGCTCCTGGGCGGGAGAGGCAGGAGGGAGAGAGCTTTTCTGCATTTGCCTGGAGGCCAGCGGCTGGCATGTCCCAGCTCTTGGGAAAGTGGCCTAATGTGGATTTTTTTCTGTATGGTCACAGCATTGCAAGAAATCCTCATTTGCATGGGGATGGGGAGTTTATTTTTACCTAGAAGTTGCATGTCAGGGCCTAGAGGAGTCATTTCTTAATAATTAATCAGCAGCATCTTAAGACGAAAGAAAAGAAAACAATTAAAGACATGAACGCTAAGAAAACCAAGGGGGAAAAACGATCTTCCAAAGGCAGACCCACCTAGCAACACTTGACAACATTTCCTCTTAGCCACCTGCATAAAAGTGACCAGCCCTCTCCCCATGGCACAGAACCTGGAGAGCAGAGACACAGGAGCCACCTGCCTGGTCCCAGCGAGAGCCGAGCTCCCAGGCTAGTCACCACCTTCCTGACTCCAGCCTTCCCAACTGCAGGTGCGTGGCCAGCTGGCTGTCTATGGTCCATGGGGTGCCATGTGCTACAGGATGGGGAGGGGTACTCCACAGAAGGGTGAACTTTGTAGGACCTTATTTTCAAGAGGAAAAGACAGAGCATGGGGAGGAAGGGAGAAGCAAGGCAGCAAGGAGGAGGAGAAGAGTCTAGCAGGAGATGACTTAGCCTTCCTTAGATTGGTTCATAGGATTGTTCTGTCTCAGGAACCATGCTGGGCACTTGCTTTATCGTGTGCTGCATTTTAGAAACCTCTTAATCCTCTGTAGTATCAAATCTCGTTTTCCATGTAAGGGACACCACTGGCTCGGGGCAGGTGCCCCCACCTCCAAAAAAGAAAGCCATGATTTTCTGTTTGTCTGGTGTCGATGGCTGGGGTCTCTGGCGAGGAGGCCAGAGGGAAGCACCCCCTGAAGGGAAGACAGGCTCACAGGGGGGGCGGAGGGCTAAGGGGCATGGACTGAGGGACAGCCTCCATCATTTGCTGGTCTTGGGCATGCTGCTTGACGTTTCAAAGGGTTTCTTCCCTCGTTCATAAACTGGGGATCCAAAGAGGACTTCGCTGTGATCTCTCCGTGCCACCCCCAGAGGGTCACGGTCCGGGGGGAGGATGGTGGGAGGACTGTGCAGGCCAGGACACTTGCGCTGCACAAGAAATCAAGGGTGGGTGGACGCAGGCAGTGCCCCACAATGTCTGAGCCAAAGGGTGGTTTCTTCCTAGTGGACTGGCTTTCTCCATGGTCCCTGTCCACCTCTGAAGGGGACAGAGTGCTGGAAGGCTTTCTACAGCTTCTCTGCCAGTGGGGTCCATGTCTTTGCTTTGCCACAAGGAGAAAGGTTAACAAAGAGACATTCGGTTCTTTGGCAAAATGCTGCCTGTTATGTAATACGATGTCAGCGGACGTTTTGATGAAGAGTTAAGGAGAAGCAAGAAAAAAAAAAAAGGAGCCCCTGGTTTGTACAGAAGAGTTAATGTGCTCAACTACTACCCAAGTCCCACCCAGAGTCGCTGCAGAAATGAGGTCTTCTTTCAGAAGGACCGACTTCTGACAGTCCCGCGACTGAAAATCCTGTGGACCCAGATCTATCCTGAGACTCAACCAACAGCAAGTGGTTGATGGGATTTGCTGTTCCCTGGTCCTCTGGGGGAGGTGCCGGGGAACCCCAAGGACCATGTAAGGAGTGGTGGTGGGTCTTGGGTCGTTGGGGTTCAGAGTCTCACCCCTATGCTCTTTATAGTTATGCTCTAAAGCCCTCTCCGTGGGCTTCTGCTGGTGGCTGTCTCCCCCTCACTACACCGAGCACCCCAACCCCACCCCTGCACATGCCCCAGTGCACACTTTGCTGCAAACGAGGGGTAGAACCCGGAGGGTAGAGGGTTCTGGACAGTGGCAGTCGATTGACACATGTTGGCATCAGGTCGACGTTGCGAGGCACATCTCAGTGGGTGAAACTTGGGCTGATATTGGAAAGGGCCGGTAAGAGAACTCCACGAAGGCTTCTGTTTGATGTTTGAGGCACTTTGCCTTCAGACCTTCTTGGACATGAGTTAAAAGAGCTACAAGAAAAAGAGGCAGAAAGGGTGTATAAGCTAGAACAGCAGCAAGCAGCGCAGAGGCTACTCTACCCAAGCACTCATGGCAAACATGCCCCTTGTGTCCCCCTAGCTTGTAGGGCATTAGATGGGAAGCCACCAACTTGTCCTCTGCAGAGGTCACCTTCCCGTCTCCTCACTGGGGCTAATTAGTTCCTGGGAAATGCCTCGCTCCTCTCTTTCCCAACTTCTCCAGAAGGCATGATCAGCGTAGTTGTTTTCAAAGAAATGATTTGAAGCAGATACACATTGGGGGTGTATGATAAAAGGTTGACATCTATTTCAGGGGCAAACATAAAAATTGAAAAAAACCAAATGTGGGGTGTTTTGTTTTTTTTTTTTGCTTTTGTTTTATGGTTTTTCAGATCTGTTGCCTAATTCCTCGGGCGTATTACCAACACAATTCTTCTCATTTATTAAAAACAATGCTTTTCATACCCCTTCGCCATCTAGTTGACAACGTGAGCTATGTTGAGTCATTGTGGGTGATACTCACCCGAGCATGCTCCCTCAGACTGAGGAGAGCACTGCATCCTGCTTTCTTGGGGGGGCGGTGGGGACGTGGGAGTGGAAGAGCAAGGCTCAAATTCACCACATGATGCAGAAAAGCAGAGGAGGAGACACATGGCCCCGAAAGGCCACCAAGCGGAGGTGTTGAGCCTGTCCTCCACTGGGAAGTCCAAGGGGGAAACCAAGCAGAACCTGATCGTCTGCTGCTCTCCCTCTCCGCTGACCAGCCAGCTGACTCCCCGTCTTCCCTGCAGGCCATGAAGATTCAGGGCGTTTTCCTGTCCCTCCTTGGTATGAGTCTCTTCCTGTGCTTAGTGCATGCCCGGAGTCTCCATAGATGCCCAACCGCCATGGACACAGACCCTGTAAAACAGAGCTTCCAAGCCATAAAAGGCGCTGTGGTGAGTATGCTGTGGGGGTCCCAGTGTGGGTGAGGGGATGCGCTTCTCCTTCTAGCTGAGCTGGAGAAGAAAATTCCTTCTCAGGAGTACTCATCACCTGTGTCTGTTCTTCTGTTTCCCTCCGTAGCAAGCAAATGACACCTTCAAAAATGTCACGATCCTGTCCAAGCTGCAGAGCATTAAGGTATAGTCTGCTCCTTGTTGACTTTTTTTTTAAACCTTTACAATGAAGTGGGCCTGCACTGAGGGTCCCCATACGACCCCATTCTCCTTCCTCATTTCCGGTGCACTCTAGGGGAGCCAGGCAAGAGCATCCTTGGTCACGGGTGCCTCAGGGACAGGAAGACTCTAGATGGGACTAAAGGAGGGCCATTTACCAAGGGAGTGTCTGGGAGAGATGGGGCTCAAAGGGACAGGATTGTGGAGGCCTGGAGGAGGGTGTGGAGGTGTCATGGGGGTGGGGGGAGGAGGAAGGAGTGATGAATGAGTGAGCACAATGAAAATGGGGTCAGCACAGCCTGGAAGGGAAGGCGTTTCGTTGAGGGTTTGGGGAGGTGTGGGTGGGTGGGGGAACCAGAGGAAGGGGGGGGTCAGTATGGGAGGATGGGGATGAGATTCAGGAAGGTAGGAAGGTGTGTCAGGGGACAGTGGCTGGGGGCAGCCTTGCGTGCGAGGAACATGGAGGTGACTGGTGGGGGATGAGATGGAAACACACACTGGGGTCATTTTATGGGGCTCTTTGAAGACACGTTGAGACTCTGTCCTGTACCAGAGCCAGTGGTGAGTCACTGGAGACCGTGGTGCCAAGGCATATCATTGCAAACTGTTTTCAGAAGACACCTTAGTAATGTTCTTGGACCACTTTAGAGGCCATAAAGCCAGTTGAGCAGATCCATCCAAGGATCTAGACAAGACGTGTTGAAAGAACATGCTGCAAAACACTTGGCCGAGAGGCGATAACTCACTGTGCACAAGAGATCACTGAGAGGTGAATTCCTGCAGGGCGTGGGAACATGCTGGAAGCTTCCAGGTATTTTCAGGTGCTTAGGTGGCCAAGGGAAAGGTAGATCTCCAGCGAGTTGCTTCTCTGCACACATGAGCAAGACACCTTCACAATTCCTCTAGGGCACTTGGTGGCAAACAGATGCAGCCACTCACCAGGTCACAGTCATGCCAACTGAAAAGCGGCAGGTAGAAGGGACCCGAAAGATCATTTGTTCCCAAATCGTCATTTTCACGTGAGGAAACTGAGCCCCCAGGAGGCAGATAACTAGTGGTAGCAAGGAAGGGGGTGGGGCGGAGACTGAAGTCTTTATTGTGGCTTCTTTGTTCTTGGCTTTGTTCCTTTGCTCATTCATTCTTTCTTTCCTCCCTCTCTTCTTTCCCCTGCCTTCGTTCCTGTCTTCCCTTCCCTCCTTCCTTTCTAGTGGCCTCATGTTGGAAGAAACCAGGGCTGTAACTCTGGTCCTTGGGTTCCAGCAGTCAGAGAGGGCTTGGGTGCTGCCAGTAGAGTTTGCCGTCTAGGAAAAGTTGTCCATGGAGCCAGCCAGTCTTTGGTCGTCCTTGAATGATAATGAAGATGGTTGCGCCGTGGCTGTAGATCCCTCCTAGTCAGATGGCCTCAGGGGCTAGAAATCATTCATCCAGGCGGGATGCGAGCTGCTGCAAGGCAGCTCAGCCAGGCTGGCTCACGTGGAGACCTTGCTAAAGGAGTCCTCTCTGAGAGAGCTGCACACCGTGGCGGGAACCTACCCGGCAGATGGATGTGATTTCCACAGCCATCAGTCTGCGTTCTTGGACATCTCGGCATCAGCCAGATGACGCCTGCCGGTTACAAAAGACACAGGGGAGGAGAGCTAGCAGGGTGGCCCACAGCAGAGCGGCCGGGATCGTGAGCTGGCTGAACAACTGAGGGGAAACGTGTTTAGCCTAATGCCTGGCATGTAATAGATAGTGAATCAATATCCCTGGATGGATGGGAGGCGGTACAGAGAGGCAGGATTCAGTGTCACATACGAACATTCTTTTTAAGAAAGCTGCTCAGCCATTGGTCCTTCATAAAGAAGATGCCTGACCCATGGAAGGGTTAAAGTAGAGGTTCCTAATGACATCGGGGAAGCTGCAGAGAGAATTCCAGACCAGGATCCTCTTCTGGGCTCCATCCTTGGTTAAGATAGCTCCTCTCACTCACTGCCATGGAGTCGATGCTGACTCGTGGTGACCCTCTAGGACAGAGTAGAACTGCCCCTCAGAGAATGCAACTCTTTACGGGGGTAGAAAGGCTCATCTTTTCCCCAAAATACAGTTCCTAGTCATGTGAAAAGACTTCAGCCCAAGCAGCTCTATTGTGGTAAATGGGAATGGAGCCATGATGATTGTTAGAAAATGACTTATGGTTCTGTTGCTCCTTGCTGCCCCCATTCCAACAGGCTGTTTTGATCTTTAGAATAATCAATGAAGGGGACTTCTCTAATTTGTGTCTGTAGCCTTTAGACATGTGCTGCGTGACCAGGAAGCTCCTGGAATTCTACATGGAGAGAGTGTTCAAGTATCGTGAGGAGCTGAGCGTCCAAATCTCCAGAGGAGTCAGCAGCATTTCCAACTCTTTCCTCCCCCTGCAGAGGACTGTGCAGCCCTGTGTGAGTCACCCCTGAAAGATTCCAAGCATCTGTTCCCTGTCTGCCCCAAGAGCACCCAGGCCTGGCTGGCCCCAGTCAGCAGTTTGACATGGCTCCCGGAGCCAGAGGAAATTCCCTGTCCTGTCATCTACTGAGAGAACTCTTAGACAACAACTGCCAGGGTCACTCCCCAGGGCTTCCTGTCTGACAACACTTGACCAGATCTGGCCTTCCTCATGGGTCATCCTCCTGGGGTGGCTGGCTTAGGTCAGAGTGTCCTGTAAGTGATGTCCGGTGAGGTGGGAGAGAGCCACGCTAAGGATCCCAGGCTTGGCTGTTTCCTTGGAGCTCTGTTACCCTCTGCGTAAGCCATGAGTAATTGCTACTGAATCAACCCCAACTCATGGCGTCCCCATGTGCGTCCATGTAGAATTGGGCTCGACAGGGTTTTCAAGGGCTGATGTGTAGAAGTCGATACATCACCAGGCCTTCCTTCAGAGGCCCCCCGAGTCGACTCAGACCACCAACCTTTTGGCCGTCAGCCAAATGTATTAATTGCGTGTGCTGGCCAGGCCACGAAGAATCGCAAATAAGTGCATTGTGCTCTAAGCAACAACGACTTCGCTCAGAAGAAGACCTGGGTTCCAGGCCCATCGCCGTCAATGGCATGCTGTGGGACGTAGTGGCACGCTGTTCCCCTCTCTAGGCCTCAGATTCCAAAACGACGAGAAGGGATAATGATGCCAATCTCACAGATCTTCTAATTGGTGACTTAGTCTATGAACACAAGAAATACTTGCTGAGAGTCTTGCATGCTGACCCTGGGTTCCCCCAGCAGTGACCTGAAAAAAGTGACAGCCGAATCCAGGGTGGTTCTACCAACAGACTGACTTTCTCTTGGCTGTTCCCACATGAGTCAATGTGGGGGCTCTCACCTAGGGAAGGAGGAGAAATTTTACTTCTCAGGCAGAGAGGGTGGGAATCCACCATCCCCTTTCCATTACAGAAGGCACGGAGGCTGTGCCCCTGCAGTGAGGAAGCCACCAGAGCAACCAGCATCATCAACAGCAACTATGATCAGGTAGGAGACCAGGAAGTGTTCAGGGAAGATGGGAGGCAGGGCCTGCTGGAGAGGGTGCTAACCTCTCAGCCTCCTGTCCATTCAGATTCCCTCATTCACCCAACAAGTGCGTATTGCAACCCTTTCCAATTCTGTCTGTCTGCAACGTGTGTAGGTCTTAGCTGATTTGCCAATTCCTTTGAAACACCTTCCTTACCAGCTTTCCACTGTTTTTCTGAGATGAGGCCTAAACTTCATTGAGCTGTTGGGGGAAACACATACTGTATAACATCAGGTGAGGCCAAGGGAAGAACGCATCCTGATGAACTGTAAGCTGGTGTGTGGAACAGGAGCCCATGGCAGTGCAGCGGTTGAAGGCGTGACTACTAACTGAAAGGCTGGCTGTTCAAACCCCTATCCACTCCACAGGAGAAGGATGTGGCCGCCTGCTTCCATGAAGATTTACGACCTTGGGTCTCCTAGGGGCAGTTTTACTCTGTCCTACATGGACACTATGAGTTGGACTGGAAGTCATAGAACAACAAACTGTGGAGGGACGTGTCTCCTCTGAGGTGGCCCTGTGTTCGTCTGTCTCCAGTATGGTGACATGGAGCCTCCTAGTGCTACGATGACCTCAATGGGCAGATGAATCACGTAATGGCCTTGTGAAAATGCAGATCCTGATTCGGTGGGTCTGGGGTAAGGTCTGAGATTCTGCATTTCTATCACACTCTCAACTGGTGCCAATGCTTTGACAAGCGAGGAGATGGGGGCTCTGTTCAAGGAGCCCTGGTGGTGCTCTGGGGGAGAAAGATGAGGCTGTCTGCTCCCATAAGATTTAAGGCTAGGGTCACTGTGAGCTGGCGTTGACTTGGTGGCAGAGGCTTAGATTCTGTCTTTGGAGGTCTGTTCACAGCACCACTTCTTCATGGAGAGGCTCTGTGGGATAATAGTGGTAGCAATAGCTCAGAGTCACATTGTTCTATTATGAGGCAAGTGTTTCTCTAAGCACACTCTCCTCCTGAACACCTTGATTCCTCACAGAGGTGATGCTGGTAGATGTGGTTATCTGTATTGTATAAATGTGGAAACCAACGTCCAAAAACAAACTCAAGAGACAAGAAAGTGGCCATCAAAGTGATTCCAATTCATAGTAACCTCATGAGTGTCACAGTAGAGCTGTCCTCTGTAGGCTTTTCAATGGCTGACTTTTCAGGAGTGCATCGTCAGAGCTGGTTAGATATGAACCTTCAGTCTTTTGGGTAGCAATTGAACACTAACCATTTGCACCATCCTAACCAAGAGACAAGCATGCGAAACCCCTTGACTGCCATAGCCAGAGGTGGTAGAGGAAGGATTTGATCCCTTGCAGACTAGCATTTGGATTCTACCACCTCCTTGTCTATTGTAGGTGAGAAAAAGATGAGGTTTTCTATGCCTATAAAGAATCACAGTCTTGGAAACCCACAGGGGCAGTTCTACTCGATCCTCTAGGGTGGCAGTGGGTTGGAGTTGACTAGATGACAGTGAGTGCGTCTGTGATAGAGGGGCTCTGTTGGCACAGTAGGGTAAACGCTGTTCTACTAACTACAAGGTCAGCGGCTCCAACCCACCACTGTGATGGCATAAAGTTGAGGCTGTCTGCTCTGGTAGAGATGGATAGCCTTGGAAACTCTACGTAGGGTCACTGAGAGTTGGATTCCACTCGATGGCAATGGGTTTGGGTTTCATCAGTTTCTGTTGAAGGAAATGAAATAAATCAGGCAGCTTGGATTATAGTTCCAGGTTGGCCACTAACCATCTGTGTGATGTGAAGTAGGACACTTATGCTGAATGTCAAGTGGGAACAACCTACTGTCTCTCTCCCATCACTTAGCATCACTGAGATTCAGACTTTTTGGGAAAATGGAAGTAATAAAGCCAATTAGTGTAAAAAAGAAAAGCAAGGGGGAAGTGACCAGTTGGGGAAATAAGATTGTGGGAAAAGGAGAAGGAGAGGGAAAAGAATGGGGAATTTTAATTTTGTTTATAAGGAATGTGTGTGATTTAACTGTTGGGGTGTTTGGGGGGAAATGGTTTGCCTGTTAGGGAAATAGTTTTGAGTCTGCATGCTGTGCAAATATATGTGATGAATAAAAACAAAAGCCTTGGGAAAAGCACAGCATCAGAAAGGTGACTGAGAAACCGTAACCCAGTCTATGAAGATTGACTTTTATGATCATTTCACTGGTTTCAGCTGGAGGTCCAAGCTGCTGTCATAAAGTCCCTGGGAGAGCTGGATGTCTTTATAGCCTGGATTGACAAGCATTATCATCCAGAACCCTCCACAGCTTGACACCAGGAGAAGAGCAATCCTTGTGAGATTCCCTGTGGAAGACAAACCGACTTAGAAAAGGAGAGAGATGGGGAAGACCACCATTTTATGCAAATAAGAGTCATAAAAGACTTCTTTGATTGGATCATCAGCTCTCCCCCGGCAGGTGGACTCTAGGGAAATTCTGGGTTTGAGTGGCTCTCATCCTGCAGCTGAAACTTCTCAACTGGCCACCGAGTCTAATCATATACTGTTGCATTTAGGAGGAATTGTGTCTGTGGAAAGGTCCTGCCAACCCTCCTGGAGGGAAAGGGTTGGCCTCCCCTAATTTATTGTTGTTTATCCCATGTCTTTGGTGTGAGCTGAACAATAGCCTGTAGTGCATATTGTACTGACTGATTTCCCTGAATAAACTTCTCTTTATTAATTGGTGGCAATGTCTTCTGATTCATGGAGGGCTCATCAAGGCATCATCAATGGACATGATTAGAAATAAAAGGGACCTTTAGAAACATCCAGAGCCCTGTTGGCATAGTGGTCACTCGTTGGGCTGCTGACTGCAAGGTCAACAGTTTGGAACCACCAGTCACTCCACCAGCGAAAAGTGAGGGTTTTTCCTCCCATAAAGAGTTACAGTCTCAGAGACTTTCAGCAAGATGGCTACTAAGTAACACATAACAGAGGGACCCCACAGAAATCAGTGCAGGAGAGTTACTAAGAGGGAAATTCCACACTGCCAGGACACAGGAGGAACATCATAAAGATAAGCAGGCACAGATCCACTAGGTTTTGAGGAGCTGGTGGAGTTTGGCTTACCAGAGCGGAGGTCAGCTGGGGTTTGATCTTAGCCCTGCCACAGTCTTGGCCAGAGTGAGCTCCTTCAGCCAGACCAAGGGATTTATCTCAACACAGCCACAGCTTGCCACCACCTCGGGGCAGGGTTTAAACCCCTCCAGCCCCATGGTCAGGGATCGGTGCTCAGCTACATTGTTGCTTTTGTTTCCCTCTCTTCTCTCTGTGCCTCCACAATCTCAAGGGCTCAGTTTTTTTCTTTTTCTCTTCCCTTTTCTCTCACACACCACGGCTGACCTCCAGGCCACTCCCCTTAGGCTAGTGCATTTACCCTTACCCTCCACCCAGCTGGGAGGGCTCCAGCCTTGGCTGCATAACACAAGGCTGGGGAAATCCCACCCACCTTCTTGGGGAAAATCCTGCCCACCTTCTTGGGGGGAAATCCCACCTTCTTGAAGGGAAATCCTGCCCACCTTCACTGGGGGAAATCCTGCCTGTGTGCCTGCAGGAGCGCCTACCTATCCTCTGTGGTGCCATTTGATTGAGGAAACTTCCTCCTGCCTGCTGTAGTGCCTCACATGGCCTAAGGCAGCTCAGCTAACACTCACCAACACTCCACGCTGCTGTGGGAACCTCTGCCCAACTTCCGCAGCAATCTACCTAACCAGGGCATTACCTCCCACCATTCATAGTGCTCTACACCAAAGCGGGCACACCCATCAGCCTTCTGTGGCACTCCCATTGCAGCAGGCTGCCCTGCACACCCTCTGAAGTGCCCCAAGTTGCCATGGGCCACACCATCACGGCTTCTTGTGAGATCACCCAGTGCAGCACCATTCTCGCAGGTCCACTACCACCCAACCAGCATCCCCTGAGAGGACCATCCAACTTTCCTTCCAAATAACAGAATACTGGTTTACTAGGGAAAGAGTTAAGCCACAGGAGGATAAAGCGGTAGGCCAATTCCATAGTGCAATTAGTTGTAAGCAGTTTAAAGAAGCATTCTTACAGTTCTCCCAGAGAGAGCCCAGTGCTCTTCAACTCCCTGGAAAATGGCACCTGGCTCCTCTAAAACAACACAACACAAACAGCAATCAGCCCCAGTGACCTCAATGAAAAAAAACAGGACAAAAAAAAAAGGCAATGGAAGAAGATGTCCCGAACCTAACAATGTGCATAGAAGAAGCAGACATTGATCTGCCACAGAAAGAACATTTTAGAATGCTGCTTGAAGTCAAACAGGATATAAGGAAAACAATACAGAAAAAGGATGCAATGATAGAGGAGATAAAGACCATACACCAAAGGGAAATACAAGTGCTTAGGGACGAGATAACAAAAACCAGTAGCAGACTCATGGACTTTGCCAACCAACTGGAGGAGGCAGAGAACTACACCAGTGACCTAGAGGACAGTCAAGCAGACTTTAACAAACCCAAACAAAATTCTAATAAGATCATCAGAGAAGCAGAAAGAAACCTAAGAGCTAAGTCTGATGTTATGAATAGGAACAACATCAGAATAATTGGATTACTGGAGGAAGACTCAAGAAGTCATCTGCAAAAACTGAGAGAATTCTTGGAGGAAATTTCCCCAGCTTAATGAGAGAAAACCAGGCAACAATTCAGGAGGCTGAAAGTACACCAGCTAGACTGAATTCCAAGAAAAGTCTATGGGAAACTAACAAATGCCATTCCCACAGATTGTCCCCTAACAGCTAAGCTGCCTTAAAGTGAGCACATGGTTGATTCTGACTCCTGGTACAGGCAGACATTCTTTGATGATCTCCTCTCACGGAGACACTCATTCCCTTTCATGTCTTTCCCCAATGCAAGTATTGGGTTTCCTCACCTGTGAGCTCAGACTTTACTGTGATTACCACCCACCTTGTGACATATGTAATTACTGATTATGCATGTCTTATAGCTACCTACAAATAGCTCTAAAACCATAAAGCCTCTCCCCCGAACCCTCTCCTCCAGTCCCTTCTCCTCTGGTTCCTGGTCCCCTTCTCCTCCCCTGGCCCCCTCTCTACCTGTCCTTCCCCACTCCTCCTCCCCTGTGTTCCTTTCTGGTCACCGGATCTCCACATGGATGATCAAGCAGGGTTGAGGTGAGCATGTTACTATAAAATGTGACTGACTCTACTCCTTTATTTTATTTCTCTTCTATCTCCCTTATTCTCT